TGCCACTAACTCACTGTGTGATCTTGGAGTCATTACTGTCCCTGCCCGTGCCTCAGTTTCTCCAGCGGTGATGTGGGTATAATTCCTACCCACTTTCCGGTCCTTCCGATCCTTGGATGAAAGATGCTTTTGTAAATGCAATAGTGTGATTACTAATAATTGTATCACTCTGTACAATGGACTGTGAAGGGAAGGTGTACTCATGCTAACTCACTGTGTGATCTTGGAGTCATTACTGTCCCTGCCCGTGCCTCAGTTTCTCCAGCGGTGATGTGGGTATAATTCCTACCCACTTTCCGGTCCTTCCGATCCTTGGATGAAAGATGCTTTTGTAAATGCAATAGTGTGATTACTAATAATTGTATCACTCTGTACAATGGACTGTGAAGGGAAGGTGTACTCATGTAACACAAGTCTTAATATATGGAGATATACCTATCTCATGGAGCTGGAAGGGACCTTGGGAGGTCATTGAGTCCAGTCCCCTACCCTCATGGCAGAACCAGGTACCATCCCTGACAGATTTGCCCAGATCTCTATTTGGCCCCCTCAAGGATTGAACTCACCAACTTGGGTTTAACAGGCCAATGGTCAAGCCACTGAGCTATGCCTCCCCTGCAAAGACTCTGAAAGTTTTTGGCAGCTGCCCTCTCTTGGACACTCGCCAGCTTGTTCAGATGCGGGCCGGTTTTGGTGGCCTTTTGGAGCGTATGTGTGAGGTTTGTAGTGTTCAAATAAAAGCAGGCGTGTTGCTCCAACAAGCAAAACCGTGGAGAGAGAGGGTAAGGAATGGGTTTCAGGCTCTTTTCTGCCTCTTCTGATGTATCAAGAGGTCCTGAAAGTAGACCTGGATAAACAATGGATTTTTTTCAGTTCACTGGTGATTCCGGGGGGAAAGAAGCAGATCAAACTGGCACAAGCCTTTTTCATAATTTTCCAGAAAAACCAAAATCGAAGAAAATGTTACGTTGAAGTGGAATGTTTCAGCAAATAAACCATTTTTCTGAAAAATGTTGCCTAGCTTTACCAAACCGCTTTAGTTAAAGTGCATTTCCCCCTCTTTCTTGCTTACATCAGGAATTGATTTTTTTTTCTTTCTTTGTGCCCTGGCAGGCTTTGTGTAGCAAAAGAAAGCTGAGAGAATCATAGGGAAGTGAAATTTGACTCCATGTGGAAGGGATTTTTTGTTTGTTTGTTTCCAGCCTGGTTAAAAGTCTTTATTTATTTATTTATTTGGTCAACATATTTAACTCACGTGCCTAGTGAACAGTGGAGTGGAAAGCACTTCAGGTTAATGTCAATACCCCATCAGCTCAATTACAGGCAGAGAAAGCCTTGACTACGCATCTTCAGCTCTTCCCAGGAGTTCTTTTAGCTACCTAAGGGAAGACCAGACTTAACCTCTGCAAGGCACAGACAAGTGCCAACAAGCAAAACCACATGCAAACTAAAACACGGGCAGGCTTTATAAAGGGGCAGTGCTCCATTTAGACTCTTTGTAGGTCTCCTCAGGGTTTCACCGGCGTGACTTCTGAGCCCAAAGTGTTTCTTTGAAGTGCTAAGCCGCAGTGTGAGGGCTGCCTTTCCGGGACTAGGGTGCTCTAGCTCAGTGTTTCTCAACCAGTGGTACAGTAACCTATGGGGAACTCGAGAGACGTCTGGGGGGGTATGTCAACACCACTGGAATATGGAGAAAACGGAATTTTTGTTTTCAGTTTTACAGCGTTTTATTATTTTTGTACTTTTTACCCCCCAAAATGTCATCACCCGCCCGGGTACAATTAAGTTGTTTAAACAAATGTGTTGCATTGGTAGAAAAAAATGGTGTGTGTCTGAAAACTGTAGATCCTGGAGGTACTTACAATTTTTTTTTTTGAAACGGGGGTACTTTATAAAAAAAAGGTTGAGAAACACGTCTCTAGCTCACCTCAAGCTGCGGGCTTGATGAGTTTTAAAGGCCGTGGTGTATAAAAGGGCCAACTCGACAATCACAGTGGTCCCTGCTGGCCTTAAAATCTATAAGGGGATGGCGGGGCTGAGGAGAGACACGTCTCTACAGTGGCTGGAATGCTGAAGGATTCTTACCTAGAGCAGGGGCTGGGGCCG